AAAACTATCAATTCAATCCAAAATCCCGAAATTCACCCAAACCCGGCCCCCGGGCCCACGTCTCGGAATCCAACAAAAATCACAAAACTAGAAACTCCTTCCACTCATGAGTCCATACATACAAGAGTTATCAAAATCCGACTCTACTTGACCCCTCAAACCCTCAATCAAAACTCTCCAAAATTCCAAGCCCTAACCCCTCATTTCACCCTTAATCACCACTAATTACATGATTAAACCACGGAAAACTACCATAATCACGAGTACTAGGGCTCAAATTACTCACCTCAGTGGAAACCCCCTTGAATCCCTCTTCAAATTTCTCCCAAAAGCTCCAAATCCGGATGAAAAATGGTGAAGAATGCCCAAAATTCGCGAAGGGCCTTTTTATACATTCTGCCCAGCACTTCTGCATCTGCGGCCAAATTCACGCACCTGCGGGACCGCACATGTGGTCCAAACTCCGCATCTGCGCCTTTCACTTAAATCCCCAGCTTCCGCACCTGCGCCCCAAGCCTCGCACTTGCGGGCTCGCAGATGCGATCCAATATCCGCTCATGTGGTCCTTCTTCGCTTCTACGGTCCATTTCCGCTTCTGCGGACCTCGCACCTGCGGCCCCCGATCCGTAGGTGCGGAAATGACAGAAACAACAGGTTCAACTGCTCAAACCAATTTCTAACCTTTCTGTTAACCATCCGAATTCATCCCGAGGCCCTCGGGACCTCAACCAAAAATACCAACAAGTCATATACCACTATTCAAACTTATTCAAACCTTCGGAACGCTCCAAACAACATCAAAACACCAAATCACCCTCGGATTCAAGCCTAAGAACTTCTAAACTTCCGAATTCCGCAAATGATGCTGAAACCTATCAAACCTCGTCCGAATGACCTGAAATTTTGCACATGCATCACAATTGACACTACGGACTAGTGGTGTTCATAAAAACCCGAAAAACCGAACCAAACCGAAAACCAAACCAAACCGACCAAAAAACCGATACTCTTTGGTTTGGTTTGGTTTTGGTTTTGAATTTTAAAAACCGATCAAATTTGGTTTGGTTTTGGTTTTAATCAAAAACTAACCGAACCAAATCGACTATAGGAGTAGCTATTTCAAATTTATTATTACACCTATATATATGTATATTTTTATACAAAGTTTCAAAAATTTTGTGGTGAATGTTAACCGTTTGCACTTTTAGTACAGTTCTTTACCTTTATATTCTAATTTGATTGGTAGTTTTCTTTTGTTAAGTGTAAGATTCCATTTCATGTTAAAAAAATATATTTTTAATTGAGTCCTTAAATTATTCATCACTATTTGATTCAATTATCATCAATATATTTTAGTAAATAATAGACTTCTCAAAGGGCAATTGATTTGATAGTGTTACATTGAAAATGTGGTCGCCGGAATATGTGTTTGGTAGTGTATGTCTTATATTTAAGAAAAAACCGACAAATAAACGAAAAAACCAAAAAACCCGACATAAACAGAATCGAGAAAAAACCGACTTAATTGGTTTGGTTTGGTTCTAATATTTGAAAAACCGACTTACTTGGTTTGGTTTATTTTTAGGGAAAAATCGATCCAAACCGAACCATGAACACCCCTACCACGGACCTATTCCAACTTCCATAATTCCATTCCGACCATGATATCAAAATTTCCATTGCCGACCGGGAAACGCCAAATTTCCAATTTCGCCAATTCAAGCCTAATTCTACCACGGACCTTCAAATCACATTCCGGACGCACTCCCAAGTCCAAAATCACCTAACGGAGCTAACCAAATCATAAAAATCCAAATGCGAGATCGAATACTAAAAGGTCAAACTTTGTCAAACCTTTCAAATTTAAAGCTTCAAGCTGAGAATCATTCTTCCATATCTGTTTCGATTAACCTGAAAACCAAAACCGACGATTTACATAAGTCATAATAGATCATACGGGGCTAGTCATGCCCGAGAACTGGCGAGTGAAGTGCAAATACTCAAAATGACCGGTCGAGTTATTATAGTGGCTCATATTTCATCCCTACCATCTCTTCAATCGTTTTCTTAGAATAATTAATTAGGAGAATAGAAGATAAGAAAAGAAAAAGAAACCTTTGTATTAACGTTCCTTTTGATCCAAAGACAAGATAACGCTTTTTAAATATTACCATGATAATCGACTTTTAGCATACTTCTTGACACGAGTAAAGATCAACCTTTGGGATTGTTTATTCCAAAAACGGATAACATTTTAATTTATACGTGGTTTTAAGGACACGTGATTTTACTTGACACAAATTGAGAAAATATGTAAAATCGAAATTGACTGTTAAAAGAAACAAACGCAAACCAAACGAATTGTATAGCTTTGGTCCTCGAGTTAGGTCACCCTCGAACCAAGTGAAGAATCTACTAAAATATGAACAGAATAACAGAATATTAAAAGCTAAAAGAAGGCAGTGTATTGCTTTGTATTGAGTAAATGTGATGTCCTTTACAAATGAGCAGACCCCTTTTATATAGTAGGGGAGTCCTACTCTTGATACAACTCTAAATACATTAAAAATTCTCATGATTGGCTAATTAATCGGCCTCATCCTGATTTGTGCCGGAATTTCCACCGTGATCCTTGCTCAATTACGGATATTTCGGCTTCCCGTTACTTGACTAGGTAAACTTCCATCGGTCTCGCTCGATCTCTATCTTGCTTGGTCTCGATCTTGGCCGATCTCGACCTTGATCGGTCTCTAGGTTACGAGCCCAGCAATCTAACTTCGCACCATGGCTCGATATAATACGAAGTTGAACCTCGACCTATAATGCTCCAGTCTCGATTGTTCATACGAAGGGCAAGGCCGTTTTGACCGTATACAGGGACGTTGAGGAAGTAATAATCTCTTCAATCTCATTTTATACGATAGTGCATGATCTCGCATAAAGTTTAAGCTACAAATAAATGTTTTTGTCACGTATCAAAATAATATGTTGTAACATTTTTATGATATTTAGGCACATTATAAAGAGTACATATAATAAAATGTATAGAATTAAAGAGCTTCAAAATTAAAAATTATATAATTTTCTCTGGACTAACTAAAAAGAATAGGGTATCACTTAAAATAAAAGAGAGATTACTTTTTTTTTTTTTTTTGCATGCATTATATATCTTGTAGGATATTCTATAAATATGAAAAAGCTTAAAAAAACAAGGAGCAAGTGTTTGTACTTTTTCTTCGAAAGCCAGCATTAAAAAGAAAAGAGGATATATATTTCCACTTTTCTTTTATTTTTTTTCCTAAATTTTTTAAATCAAATTACTTATATGTTATGGGGGCCTTAATCATCTCAAGATGAACTAATCTCACAGCATCAGCATGTATGGCCAAGCTTCTTCTGAGTAAAAACATTTTTTTTTTCCGTCAATTATTATTTTCAAAATTAAGGTGTTTGGTCAAGCTTTAAAAATTATTTTTTTTTTGAGAAAAAGCAGAAGCAGTTTTAGAGAAGCAGAAAAAAGTAGTTTCTCTCCAAAAGCACTTTATTGAAAAGTAGTTTTGAGAAAAATACACTTAGAAGCATTTTTTTAAAGCTCGGTCAAACACTAATTGCTGCTCAGAAGTACTTTTCAAATTAATTAGCGAAATACAAATTGTTTCTCACCAAAAGTTCTTCTGAGAAAAACACTTTTGAGAAAAACCACTTTTCAAAATAAGTTAATTTTTGTAGCTTGGCCAACGGGCTATTAGGCTTAGACCAAAGCCAGGACAGAACCGCAAATTCTTTTAATAATCCCATATTCAAAATTCATTGTCCAGCTAATCAAAATCGATGTAGGGCCTATTAAAAGAGAAAATGCTCCCTGCTAGGGATAGATGTAGAGTGTAATATTTGGGTCCGACCAAATCTAGTAGCTTTGACTAAGAAGCTGTGCATATGTTAAAAAATACACAAAATATAACAAAATTTTAAAACTACTAGCAATTAAGGTCACTGTCCTAGGTCTCGAAAAGTTTAATTTTTAGATTCGCCTCTGTTCATAAGGGGTTTCTCTATTTTTAGAGGTCAAACCTAAGAACACTGATTAAGGTTGCAGGAATCTCATATATCTTACCACACCCTTTATTAAATAGGACCGTAATAGTGAACACGATATAATACCTTTTTCTATAACCTCCTCCCAAATTAGGAGGATTTATAGTGTTTCCATACTTCCCCTCCAGCGTGACTCGTACCTAGAACCTAATCATGGGTGGAGGTATTTTTACCAACTGAGCAAGCTTCACTTGTCATATAATACCTAATATATGAACTGATATGTGCAGATTTCTGCATTGAAAAGACACAACGCCTTGCATATGCTGTGGCTGGATTTGATTTGCTTTCTCTCTCAAGTTATTATTAATCTATAAAAGACCACATTTTATCTTTTATCTATCTAGTACTAAGTAATTAATGTTAGCACACCTCCAAAAGGTGGTCTCAATCATAGTCTATATTAGCTAAATACCAATTATATGTACATCAAGTCATCAACAATTTGTTCATTATCTGGTTCTCTCTAGAATCAGTATCATCCTCAGTGCAAGATCATATCATTTCTGATATAGTAGTACCAACTTGTGCACCAATGAGAAAAATCATCTTACTAGAATAAATATGATTCTTTTACCTTTTAACCAAAAGTTTCAGTTTCGAGTCTAAGAATATCAAAAATTTTGGTACGTAATATTTTTCAATTAGATTCAATTAAACAAGAATTAGACTTCTGCAAGCTATTTTTAGTTTAAGCTCTAGGTGGATGGCTATTTAGGTTAATTCTTTTTTTTTTGTAATAAAAAAAATTCGATTACTAAAGACTTTAAACACTCGTAGTTTGTCGTTCTTTATTGCCCACATGACATTAGTCTTTCTTTACTGCACAGAGCATCACCTACCACTAGTTGAGCGGAGGAATCCTTATTTAAAGGATGATTAGTTCATTTAAATTTGTTAACAACTTAAAAAAACTTTGTTAATCATTTCTTCTCTCCTATTATATTCTAGTTTGATGAGACTGCATTACCTACCAATAATTGGAAGGAGGAACAGACTTTCTGCTTTTACACTTTCTGAGTTGTATGAGAAACAGAATCATTCATATATCCCTCTTCAAGTAGATTAATTCTGATAAATAAAATGCCGATGGATCAGCGGTTGTACGCAGCTGCTAAAGAAGGTGACATGAAAGTTCTGGAAGAATACAAGAGTCAGTTCGCCACCCAATTAACTCCTTACAACAACACTGTCCTCCATATTGCAGCTCAACATAAAGGTTTAAATCGGAAAATTAACCCAAGAGATTTTCTTGCTATAGCTGGTCCAGACTTATTTTCCAGCTTGAACATTAATGGAGATACTTTTATTCATATGGCTGCTAGGAGAGACAACAGAGATCTCGTCGAGGCCTTTATCAACTACATGAAAAATTGTGGAGGGGTCGACGGGGTTATTGATATAGAAGCTGGCATTCGGAAAACCAGGGAGTTCTTGAGGATTACTAACAACTATGGAAATACGGCCTTGCATGAAGCTGTAATGCAGAGGCGTGATTGCAGTGTGGTAGAATTGTTGGTCAAAGAAGATCCTGACTTTTCATATCCGCCTAACAATGCTCAGAAGACTCCACTGTATCTAGCTGCAGAGAATAAAAATGAAAAACCAGTGGAACACATCTTGAACAACTCCACTTCACTATCTTATGCTGGTCCCTATGGCACAACTGTGCTACATGCAGCTGCAATGTATAATACTACAGGTATCTCCCTTTCCTCATGACTTTGCATTAGTTTTACCAACATTAGTAACTGACAATAGGCAAGAAGACCTTCGGGGAAGCCCAGTTGGTTTGGAGGGTGTCACGATCCAAATTCCCCTTAGGCCGTGATGGCGCCCAACGTCGTCGCTAGGCAAGCCAATAGTGAACTAGACATGTATTTGTTCTTTTAATAATTTCAAAGTCGTTGATTTTTATTTATTAAGAAAATAAAAAGTGAAAAATTATAGTAAAGTAAAGCGTAAACTAGTGAAGGAGCAAATGCAGTGAAATAAATGCTCAAACCCATAATGTGTCTACTAAAATATTCCCAAAGTTCGGTGTCACAAGTGTACGAGCATCTAGTAGAATATACAAAATACATATGCTACTGTCCAAAATATGATACACAGAATGTAAATACAAAAGAGAGACTCCGGTGCTGCAGAGCGGACTCAGAGAGCAGCTCACCACTATGCCTCTGGGTATCGAGTGCGCGCGCCTGAATGAGTGTCATGCACCTGCCTCATATCCTGCACAATTAGTGTAAAAGTGTAGCGTGAGTACATAAATAACATGTAACCAGTAAGTATCCAGTCTAACCTCGAAGAAGTAGTGACGAGGGGCCGCGACACTTACTCTTGGCAAATAAATAAATACGAAATTTTTTTCAATAGGCATGGAATACATTAGTAATAATAATAACACAATAGCAACAGTAAATAAGTGATTCTTTAATTAAAAGTCAATCTAAAATCTCGAGTGACACATACTAATTTCAACAATTGCGGGCTATCAAGTAAATTATAATTTCTCAAGTCATAAAATAATATTACGTGTAATCGGACTCCGAACATTATCACACACGATTTATGCCGAGGTCGTACGATCCGATCCACAATAATGTGTACACCGCCGAGAGTCAACCGGCACGAACCATAGATGCATCTACTATACTACCGAGGCGTTCGATCCGCTCCACAAGATGAGAGAATAATCTACGGACATCCGATTTAGAGGCTATCACAAGACTAATTCACAAGGAGACATAATTTCTATCACTGGCCAAGTAATTCGCCAAAACTCAAAATAAGTGATGTTCGGTCTTTACGTATCCTTTAACAAGTTTCAGTATAAATTAAGCACTTAAATTAACAAGTAGAGTGCAAACAATACAAGTATTTCATGATAGGGTCCTAAAACAACCCGGACATAAGCACGATTTGTAGCTATGCACGGACTCTCGTCACTTCGTGCGTACGTAGCACCCACAATTAGAAGCAAATAGTAATTTAAAATACTTATGGGGTAAATTCCCTCTTACAAGGTTGGGCAAGAGACTTACCTAGTCCCAAAGTTCACTTTCCAGCCCACAATTTCACTCTAAAGCCTCAAGTTGGTGCCGAACAATCCCAAACTAGCCAAATATTATATAAATTAATCAATACATGCTCAAAAGTTCATAATTTAACTATTAGAGTGATTCCCAACCAAAATTGAAAGATTCTTAAAATTCACCCACAGGCCCGGATTCCGGAAATTTTCGAAGATAAATGCTACCCATAACCTCAGGAACTCAAACATATAATTTTTTTCGAATTCCATAGTCATTTTCGTGGCCTAATCCCATTTTTATCAAAACCTACCTTTAACTAAGCCCATAATTTCTACAATTTTCATGATATGACTCTACCCAAAATTCGTGTATTAAACTCACATTAGGTGGGAATTACTTACCTCATGATGATAGGCGAAAAATCCCTCTCCAAGAGCTCCAAAGTTGACTTCTCTAAATGAAAAGGGGGAAAAAGAGCCTAAGTCCGGATTAAATGGACCTCACTGCCTCCGGCGATTTCACATCCACGGCAGCTTCGCCGCTTTTGCGGGCAATTATCTGCTTCTGCGGAACTCCCATAATCTAGCACTGGTCGCACCTGTGGGAAAATTCCGCATCCGCGAGCCCGCTTCTGCGTCTCGCCTCGCGCGCCTGCGATCCATGCCATGCTGCCTTCCTCCGCATCTACGATCCCCCCAACGCAGAAGCATGCCCGCTTCTGCGGACACTGGTTAGTCCACTCTCAGCCGCTCTTATGCTCGTTGGCTCGCACCTGCAAGCTTGCACCTGCGGCTAGTTTCTCGCAGGTGAGAACGCACCAGAACTGTTGCTCCCTCAGCAATGATTCCAAGTCCAAACATGTTTCGCACATCGTCCGAATAGCACCCGAGGCCCATGGGGTCCCTTCCAATCACACCAACAATTTCGTAAACATAAAACGAACTCGCTCAAACCCTCGGAATTCGGAAAGAACATCAAAACTAAGAATAGCACCCCAAACCAAATCGAATCAACTTATGAACTTCAAGTTCTTCCAACTTACTCCGAAAGCGCCGAATCATATTTAAACTACTCGGAATGACACCAAATTTTGCGTGCAATTCACAACGTTGACTCAAGCCAAACTTAGCCATTTTAATCCATCATTAAGGAACTAAGTGTTCCAATTTCAACCCTAACCCTTCCAAACCCGAACTAACCATCCCCGCAAGTTATAAAACGATAAAAGCACATACGGGGAGTCTTAATTAGGGGAACGAGGATCTAGAAAGCAAAACAACCGCTCATGTCGTTACATTCTCCACCTCTTAAACAAACATTCATCCTCGAACGGGTCTAGAATCATACCTAGAGTGCCGAATAGGTATGGATATCTGCTCCGCATGTCCTCCTCGGTCTCCCAAGTCGCCTCCTTGACTGGTTGTCCCCTCCACTGAACCTTTATCGACACAATCTTCTTGGACCTCAACTGGCAAACCTGCCTGTCAACAATGGCAACTGGCTCCTCCTCATAACCCAAACTCTCATCTAGCTGAACCGTGGTGTAATCTAGCACGTCCGACCTGTCCATGATACCTCCTGAGCATAGACACATGGAAGGCTAGATGAACTCTCGACAGACTGGGAGGCAAATCAACCTCCCCAACTCGCCTCAATACCTCAAATGGACCTATAAACCTTGGGCTCAACTTACCGTTCTTCCCAAACCTCATGATTCCTTTCATCGGCGAGACATTCCAGAGAACCTTCTTGCCCACCGTAAATGATGAATTATGCGCCTTCTGATCTACGTAACTCTTCTGTCTGGACTGTGCTGTGTGAAGTCGCTCCCGAATCAACTTTACCTTGTCCAAGGCATCCTTCACTAAATCAGTACCATATAACTTAGCCTCGTCGGGCTCGAACCATCCGTTGGGCGAACGACCTCGTGGACCATATAAAACCTCAAATGGAGCCATCTCGATGCTAGAATGATAAATGTTGTTGTAAGCAAACTCGGCCAATAGTAAGAATCTATCCCACTGACCTCCAAAGTCAATGACATATGCTCTAAGCATATCCTCCAGAATTTGAACTATCCGCTCTGACTGTCCGTCGGTCTGCGGGTGAAAGGTTGTGCTGAGCTCCACCCGGGTACCCAACTCGCTCTGAACTACTCTCTAGAAGTGTGAAGTGAACTGAGGGCCTCTATATGAAATGATGGAAACAGGTACACCGTGCAACCGAACAATCTCCTGAATGTAAGTCTGGGCCAATTTCTCTGAAGAATACGTAGTTGCAACTAGAATGAAGTGTGCCGACTTGGTCAACCAGTCGACAATGACCCAAACTTCTTCAAACTTCCTCAAGGTCCGTGGCAACCTAACTACAAAGTCCATAGTAACGCACTCCCATTTCCACTCGGGTATAACCGTCTGCTGAAGTAGGCCACCGGGCCTCTGGTGCTCATACTTAATCTGCTGTCAATTTAGACACCTTGCTACATACTCAACTATGTCGTTCTTCATCAGCCGCCACCAATAATGCTGCCTCAGGTCGCGATATATCTTCATAGCACTTGGATGAATAGAATACCGAGAACTATGTGCCAACTCTAGAATTTTCTCCCTCATGCCATCAACATTAGGAGCACATAGACGACCCTGGAGTCATTGAACACCATCCTCACCGATAGTAACCTCCTTGGAACCACCTTGTAGTACCATCTCTCTAAGAACCAATAAGTGCGGATCGTCGTACTGACGAGCCTTGATCTACTCGAATAATAAAGACTGAGCGACAATGCATGCAAGAACTCGACTGGGCTCGGAAATATCCAACCTCACGAGTCTGTTAGCCAAGGACTGAATGTCCAAAGCAAATGGCCTCTCCTCCGCTGAAATGAATGCCAAAATGCCTACACTCTCAGCCTTTCTGCTCAAGGCATTCGCAACTACATTACCCTTGCTCGGATGATAAAGAATGGTAATATCATAGTCCTTTAGTAACTCAAGCAACCTGTGCTGCCTCAGATTGAGATCCCTCTATCTGAACAAATGCTGCAAGTTGCGATGATCGGTGTAAACCTCACAGGACACCCCACAAAGATAATGCCTCTAGATCTTAAGGGCATGAACTATCACGACCAACTCCAAATCATGTACGGGTAATTCTTCTCGTGGGGCTTCAGCTTACATGAAGCATATGCAATAACTCGCCCCTCCTACATCAATACACAACCCAAGCCAACACATGAAGCATCGCAATACACTATATATATCCCTGAACCGGAAGACAATACTAACACCGACGTTGTAGTCAATGTGGTCTTGAGCTTGTGAAAGCGCACCACGCGATCATCAGACCATCAGAATGGAGCACCCTTCTGAGTCAATCTAGTCAAAGATGTTGCGATAGATGAGAAGCCCTCCACAACTCGGCGTTAATAACCTGCTAACCCCAAGAAGATCCTGATCTCAGTCACTGTGGTAGGGCGAGGCCAACTCTTGAATGCCTTGATCTTCCTAGGATCTACCTTAATACCCTCGCCTGATACAACATGCCCCAAGAATGCCACATAATCTAACCAGAACTCGCACTTACAGAACTTAGCATATAGCTTCTGTTCTCGCAAGGTCTGAAGCACCACTCTCAAATGCTACTTGTGCTCCTCCATGTTATGCGAGTA